CTTGAAACTATTGTTTATACAACGAGGGGCGACTAAAAATAGAAAGGCAACAACTCCATGTGCTCTCTCTCATTCAGATCCTGGTTTTCAATCCGTGCAAGCATGAATATAAGTGGGTTGCAGGATAAAGCCTAAAAACTAGGAAGGAAACCAAAAGGTGGGGGCGGGGGATGAGGAAGCAGGGGTGAGAGTGGTGTGTGTGTGCATGCAAGTGTGTGTGTGTGTGTGCGTACAAGTGTGCAAAAGGATACACGTGACAATAAAGGAGAAAGAAAACTGGGTAGAGGGAAAGATCCAAGGGGAGGGGAATGGAAATGTGGGGAGAAACAAGTAAAACATACTTTGTTTGAGAATGCCGCTATAATCTAACATAGTGTAGACCAATCTTAAAAATAACTTTTTAAAAATACAAGTTTCCTGAAAATGCATCAGCACAAACCTTTCCTCTCACAGGAGGGGTCTGAAAAGATTCTCTACTCAGGGAATCCCCAGGGAAAAATCAACCTCAAGCGCTTCTCACTCTGAATCACACTGGATCATACCACAGACACGAAGGGGAAACCACGCAGGCCCCTTAGGATTCCCACAGCGAGCAAGACATGATCAGATCAAAAGTGACCAAACACCAGAAAACAAACCACCAGGAGAAGTCAAAGAAGCAAAGACTGGATCCCAAACGGTGCAGATGTTAAAACAATAGCTACAGAATAAAAACAAAGTAAAAATGAACAGGTAGTGACCACAGAAAGCCTGGGCTAAGAACAGCAGCAGCTGTATATATAAGAGCCAAACCCTAGGAACAGTGGCACCCACAAAAGAGATGAATACACAAATGGTGTTGGGCTCATTCAGTGAAACCCAGAATTAGAAAGAAATGAATAACAATCTTAAAACCAAGGTGAGCACTGACACTGTTCGATGGTATCTATACAAAGCTCCAAAAGAGAAAACTAATATCAAGGCAATAAAAATCAGAATGTCTAATGGAGAAAGGGCACATTAACCCCAAGGGTAACAACAGAACTTTCTGACGTTATGGCAATATTCTATATAATGTTTTGACACTGAGTTCGTAGGCACCCACAACCATGAAAACCCTTTCGTTGTGTAAGTATATCTAAATGACATACATTTAACAGAAATAAAATAGGAATTATGTCTTCATCTGTAAAAAGGGATCAAGAATATTTGAAAAAGGTCTAAGATGAAATTCTAGAAATAAAGATATACAAGCTGAGTGTGATGACACATGCTCTTAGTTCTAGCACTCTGGCTTTTGTTTGGTTTGGTTTGGTTTGGTTTGGTTGTTTGGCTTTTCAAGACAGGGTTTTTCTATAGCTTTGGAGCCTGTCCTGGAACTATATTGACAGTGGTTTCTGTCCCGCCCAGTCCCACAGCCGTTCAGTCCCAAAGAAACACACAGAGGTCTACATTAATCATAAACTTGTTGGCCTATTAGCTCAGGATTCTTATTAACTCTTATACCTTAAATTAACCCATAATTCTTATCTGTGTTAGCCACGTGGCTTGGCATCTTTTATCAGTGAGGCATTCTCGTCTTACTTCCTCTGTGTCTGGGTGATGACTACAGACTGAGCCTTTCCTCTTCCTAGAATTTTCCTGTTCTGGGCACCCCGCCTATACTTCCTGCCTGGCTACTGGCCAATTGGCATTCTATTAAACCAGTACAAGTGGCAAATCTTTACAGAGTACAAGGCCATTGTCCCACAGCAGAACTAGCTCTTGTAGACCAGGCTGGTCTGAATTCACAAAGATCCGCCTGTCTGTGCCTCCTGAGTGCTGGGATTAAAGGCATGAACCACCACCGCCCAGCAGTTCTAGCACTTTAGAGGCAGAAGCAGAAAAATATCTGTAAATTCAAGGCCAGCTTGAGCCACAGAGTGAGTTCCAGAATGGCCAGGGCCTAAAACAAAAATATATAAGCACTAAATTCAAAAGCTGAGTAGGTTCTGCTCCAAGCTACAGTTTATATAAAATATTAAGCCTCAAGTCTCTCATAAACATCTACTTTGGGGGGTAGGAGTTGAGACAGGGTTTCTACATATAGTTCTGTTTTTCCTGGGACTCTCTATATATACCAGACTGGCCTCAAACTCAGAGATTCACCTGCCTCTGCTTCCTGAGTACTGAGATTAAAGGTGTGTGGCACCATGCCTGGCAAGAACATCTTTGAAAGCAACAGAGTGTCATTACTATTCTAAAAGACATTTTCAGGGCCTGGACTCTGACTCAGCTGGGGGAAGAAAAAACTAATCACACAAGCTTGTCACTCTGAGTTTGGTTCCCAGAGCCCACATAAAGAACACATGAAGTGTCACACATCTGTAATCCCAGCACTCCTACGGAGAGATGGAGGCAGGAGAATCACCTGGAAGCTTACAGGTTAGCTGCCCTGCAGTATAAATCATAAGAAACAAGAGAGATACCCTACTTCAACAAGATGAAAGTTGTCCTCTGACCTCCTCACAAGTGCTATAGCACACACGCATTCCCACGCACACACACATAAAATTTAAAAAGATGGTTTCAAACATCTACCAATACATGAAAAACTTGAATCTAGTTTTTAAGATAAGGGCTGCACAGAGCTGCAAGTCAAATACTCAACTTTTTCCTCTCTACACATTTGCTGAAAGTGGCCACCTGAGAGTGGCGGAATTACAAGAAAATGGCCGCAAAGTTGCTGAGGACCTAAATAGTCTATTTGTTGTCCTAAGAGCTCAAGAGCTAAGTGCCAGAGCTCAGAACCCTGTAAAGTACCCCCAGGCTCTCAGGTGGCAGCCTGGCAGAGCCCTCCCCAAGAACCAAAAATGACAGCTTTCCCAAAGACTCAAATGAGTGCCAACTGAGCTATTTCTTTCTTTGTTTGTTTTGAATTTCAAAACAGATTGAGTCTTTGAGTGTTTTTCTAGTCCAACCATCTAAGTGAAGTAAAAAAAAAAAAAAGTCATCTTTAGAGAGAGAGAGTTCATTCAGAGTCTCAAATTAGCTCTACAACTTTTCAAACACAATGTTGCTCATTCCAACAAAATCCAGACAAGTCCTGTAGAGGGCATCCAGGACAAAGGAAGCATGAATGCCACCAATTCCAGGCTTGTTCTGCTGCCCAGGCTCCCCAGCTCTTTCATCATGCTCTCAGAGACGATTTTCCACAATTACTATAACCATGTATACTTGAATAGCCATTATTTCACACAATGGCCATCCTTTGGGCACTTTGTATCTGTCCGTCTTAAAGGAAGAGAAGACCTGAATTCCCCAATCACAGCTGGAGTGATTTTCCCTAAATGAAATACCTGTATCATAAACACCCTGACTCTGAGACTAAGGGAATACCACAGAAGGGGGTGAAAAGATGGCAAGGGACAGAGGATGGGGCGGACCACTTAGAAACAGTGTCTTCTGGGTGTGGCAAGGCTGTTGTACCCATGAACACACAACAACTGTGGCTTCCTGCACAGATCAAAGCAGTCAACATTCCAGTGCAGGTGGAGGCAGAGCTCAGAAGGACCTGTCCCCGGCTGAGGAGCCAGTGGCAGATGATAGCTCTGGAGGAGGAAGAGCCAGTTCTCTGCAGGGTGTGACCTCTGGTACATTGCCTATACTCTAGTGGACTACCCACACACATACAAGCGGCACTGACTAGACACAGTGGATGATGAGGGATTCCCCTCTGCATGCTGTGAATATCATTGGTTAATAAAGGAACTGCTTTGAGCCTATAGCAGAGTTATAGGGGAACAGAGCTAGGCATGGAAAACTAAACAGAATGCTGGGAGAAAGAAGGGAGAATCAGAGAGAAGTCATGTAGCCCCTGCTGGAGACAGACACTGGGAACTTTACCCGCTAAGCCACAGCCATGTGGCAATACACAGATTAATAGAGATGGGTTAAAATAATATGTAAGAGTTAGCCAATGAGAAGCTCGAGCTAATGGGCCAAGCAGTGATTGAATTAATATAGTTTCTGTGTGATTATTACGGCAGTCTAGGCAGCCGGGAAATGAACAAGCAGCCTCCTTCCAACAGTGGGTTATGAAGGAGGAGGAGGAATGAAGTGAGTAGAGGGCAAGAGGGTGTTAGAGGTAGATATGATAAAAATGCAATGAATAACATGTATAAAATTCTCAAAGAATAAATAGATTTTACTTAAAAGAATTCATAGAGGGCCCTTCCAGGCACCCCGCTACAGACTTGGCTTTGCAGAGGAGCTGGTGACAATGTTTTTGTGTGCTGTGCTGCGATTGCTGCTGCAGGGAGCTGCAGGGAGACCATGGGCAAGTTGAGAAGCCACGACATGGATGCTATATATTCATGACATTGGTGTCTGAGCCTCCTGAATCATTGGATTGCAGAATGCAGTGGCCTATGATGATGTGCACACTGACTTCACTCGGGAGTAGTGGGCTTTGCTCTCCAAAAATGTGATGCTGGAGACCTATAGGAACCTCACTGCTTTAGGCAACTAATGGGAAGGTCACAATATTGAAGAACTTTGCAAAGTTCTAGAAGACATGGAAGGTATGAAAGAAACCATACTGGAGAGAAACCCTCTGAAAGCCTTTCCCACACAGAGTTACATAGAAAAACACATACTGGAGAGAAACCTTATGAATACGAACACAAGATCATCAGAGAAGCATGACCATAGGTTTGAGCTATGACAGCTAAGGCAGGAGGCTCAGAGCACACATCCTCTACCTGAAACACGAAGCAGAATGTGGCAACTGCAGTGGTGTAAGGATTTAAACTCTCAAAGTCCTCTACCAAGAGCATATATTTTCTAGCAGGGCAGCCTTTTTCTAATTTTCTTCAAATGATACCAACAGCCGAATAGGTCCAATTCTCTGGCTTTGAAGCCTACGTGCTTGCTGTGTGTTCCATAACCCAGCTCATGGTGACAACCACTCTCTAGGCAAGCCTTTAGATGCCTCAAGTCTGAGGTACAGGAATGGCTTACACAAGAAAAGCAGCCATGAGTGAAAATACACGCAATCATTTATTTTCATGTTAACTGTGTGATGTCGGTGCACCTTTGGGTGTATGTGTGTGTGATATTCTTAAGCTTAGACCCTATAATCTTCCTAGATTTCTAACAGGAATTAGAAGATGTCTAAATCCCAACCAGGGTCCTGGGAATGAATTTGTCTTAACTGCTCGGTCACGTCTCTAACCCTGTAACTATCTTAAAACCTTATTCTATCATCTTGACATCAGGTAATAGAGAAGAATTCATACAAGAGAAAGCCCTATTCATGTAAGCAACTCGGTAAAGACATTAGACGGCTGTCTTCAGTTGCAAGAAAAAAATTTGTTTCATTTCATTTCCTCATAGTCTTGAAGCAAGTTAATTATCATGTTCATTCCCGTCTGGTGGTGGAGATCGCAGAATTGTACTATTTCAAAACTCTGGCATAGGAACTGAAGTTCCCAGCATGTGAAGCGAGTCCGTTGACTGAAGTTTATTTGGCTCCACATACCCCTTGTGCGACTTCCGTTCATCTTCTACCATGCTTTCACTTGGTGACAGGTATTTTCTGCTGAGAAACATAAAAAGGATTCCCATAATAAAAATAAATAATATATAATATCCAAATGAAACAAATACTTATTTAAAAAAACCTTAGAAGGCTTGAGAATTTGCTACCAAAAGAATATGAAAGATAGACAGAAAAAGGCAAGAATTTTATACTTTTCTCCATATATCCATGAAGGTTTTTTAGGATATTTTTTGCTATGCTTTGAGAAATATATATGTATGTATGTGTGTGTGTACATTGTATGTATGTATGTATATTAATCATATTCACACACGCACACACTCCCCTCTTCCCCCAACTCCTCTTTATATTCACCCTAAACCATCTCCCAACTTCATGAAGGTTTTCATTTAGGTAATAGGCAGGATTTTGTTGTGTAGCCATTCTAGCCTGATACTCACTATGTAGTCCAGGCCGACCTCAAAGTCATGGCAACCGTCCTCTCTCAGCCTCCCAAGTGCTGAGGTTACATATGCAGCATCGTGTCTGGCTCTGAGGCACTCTTCTGTGACACAAGGGGCTGAACCCAAGGCCTTGCACATGTTCCCTGCTCCCTTAGGTGATAATTGCTATTAAAGGAATGGAGACGTCAGGTAAGATTTTGTGGGGGTGGGGAATGCTTGTGAAATCTAATTTGACTATCTGAAACCACCGCACATCCTGCAGGATTGTATTTCTGCCACATTATCACTTCTGTGATCTGCACGCTGTTCTACTTTTGCTGAATTACACCCTTCATTTTCTCATGCGTGTTCTCTGCTTTGAGTGGTTTCTAATTTGGGGTGGTTATATAAGACTTGCTTTTATTTAATACTGATGTCAGCATTTCAAGGGCTGTGAAATCATGTGTTCTGTGCTATAAATACCATGGTACCTGCTTTCCTTGGCCCTCTGCTTATTCCAGTGATTAAGCTAAGTCTTGTGTGCTTTGCTTTGTGATGCTGTGACTGACTCTCCCACACCTCACTTCTCACTTACCAGTAGGCTCCCAGGTAGGCCCTGCCAATAGAGGGCACTAAGAATAGAATGGATGGGGGAGGAGGCAGGGATCATCTCCTGTGGCTTCCTGCTTCCTTCCTCTTCCTGAGGGCATCCATTTAGTGTCGCTTCCTCACGCAGGCACCCCCAGTTCCTTCCCATGCCAGCAGCACGGTCGAGTGCCCAGATAATTGGCTTTAGACAGACTAGTCTCATCGCATACCCTCAAGAGCTCACCACAACCAGCTAGGCCAGTGGATCTCAACTTGTGGGTTATAACCCTTTGGGAGTCAAATGATCCTTTCACCTGGGTTGTATATCAAATAGCTACATTATGAACCATAATAGTAGCAAAATTACCATCATGAAGTAGCAATGAAGGTAACTTTATGGTTGGGGTCACCACAGCATAAAGAACTGTATTAAAGGGTTACAGCATAGGAAGGTTGAGAACCACTGAGCCTGGCCCTCTTCTCAAGATTTGATCACCAGTTCTTCCTGTGAGCTCAGAGACACACTGGATGTAATACCCTTTCATCCAACCCTCTTCTGAGGTACTAAATCTTCACAAGTCTAACCTCTTTCTTGCCTTTGATCCCTCAGCTTTAAGGATGGTTTCTGAACCTCCTGCCCTTTAAACACCTAACAGTTCTTTTTGACTTGTTGCTTTCAGAAGCCTAGGCTAACAAATACACATGCAAGTGGAACCTTGGAATATGGCTTGCTCTAATACTGAGGGGACTTGGGAGGTGAGTCATCAGCCACAGGGCCGGACAGCTGGAAGCCCCCACTCTCTTGGACCTCCCCAGTGGGACAAAACCCAGGGGCTTCTCCCCAACTTCCTTGGCTTTTCTAGCCAGCCAGCAGGGAGTTTTCCTGCAGCTGGGCTATCCCCCAACCCACCCTGCCCCCAAACCCGCCTATTCACCTGCAAGCTCCATGGAACCCTGAAACACAGTTTGCTACAATACTGAGGAGGCCTAGAAGGCAGCCACTGCAAGGATTGGACCAGGTTGCCAAGACACTGCCGGCCTCATTGGAAGGAAGAGATGGGTAGGCGCCAACGCAAGAATTCCTCCAACATCCTAAAAAGCAACATGGTAACACCAGAACCCAGCGGACACACAACAGGAAGACTTGATCGTCCTAACCCAGAAGAAGGAGAAGAAAACGACTTTAAACGTAAATTTACGAAAATGATGGAAACCTTTAAAAAGGATGTGAAAACTCCCATAAAGAAATGAAGAGAAAAGAAAAAACACACAAATTAACATCACCAATGATGAAAACTAAATTAACAGGAACTAGCAATCACTGGTCATTAATATCCCTTAATATAAATGGACTCAACTCACTTATTAAAAGACACAGGCTAACAGATTGGATACAAAAAACAGAATCTATCCTTCTGCTGTATATAAGAAACACACCTCAACCTCAAAGACAGACATCACCTCAGAGTAAAGGATTGGGGAAAAAATTTCTAATGAAATGGACCTAAGAAATAAACTGGCGTAGATATCCTAATATCTAACAAAATAGACTTCAAACTAATATCAATCAAAAGAGACCAAGAAGGACATTTCATATCTGTCACAGGAAAAATCCATCAAGAGGAAATTTCAATACTGAACATCTGTGCCCCAAATACAAGGGCACTTTCATATGTAAAAGAAACACTTCTAAAGCTTAAACCACACATTAAACCTCCCACACTAATAATGGGAGACTTCAACACCCCACTCTCACCACTAGACAGGTCTGCCAAATAGAAACTTAACAGAGAAATAAGAGAACTAACAGTTGTTATGACTCAAATTGACTTAACAGACATCTATAAGCACATTCCATCCAAACATAAAAGAATATAACATCTTCTTAGCACCTCATTGAACCTTCTCAAAAATTGACCACATTCTAGGTAATAAAACAAACCTCAAAATTTTTTGAATACAAAAAAGTTGGAGTAATCCCATGTATCTTAATGGATCACCATGACTTAAAATTAGTATTCAACAGCAACACAAGTTTTAGAAAGCACATAAAGACATGGAAATTAAACAATGCTCACCTGAATCACCAATGGGTCAAGGAAGAAATAAAGAAAGAAATTAGAAACTTCCATCACAATAGCCCCAAATAACATAAAATATCTTGGAGTAACTCTAACCAATCAAGTGGAAGATCTGTATGACAAAAACTTAAATCTTTCAAGAAATAAATTGAAGAGGACACCAGAAAATGGAAAGATCTCCCATGCTCTTGGGTAGGTAGAATTAACATAGTAAAAATAACAATCTTACCTAAAACTATCTACAGATTCAATGAAATGCCCATCAAAATCCCAGAAAAATTCTTCACAGACCTCAAAAGAACAGTACTCAAATGGAAAAACAAAAAACCCAGGATAACCAAAACAATTCTGTACAATAAAGGAATTTCTCGAGGCATCACAATCCCTGACTTCAAACTCTACTACAGAGCTGAAAACAGCCTGGTATTGGCATAAGAACAGACAGGAGGACCAATAGAACTGAATCCAAGACCCAGGTATCAATCAACACACCTATGAACACCTGATTTTTGACAAAGAAGCAAAATACACAGTAGAGGCCCAAAAATGTGAGCCTATTTCCACCTTGACCAAAGGTCAGAGAGCTGGAATTAACCTCTGTTCTTTCAAGGTTATTGTGTTTCTACCTCAAACAAAGCTTCCACATAGATTTAGATCAGAGAGTTCTGCTCTCGCAAGGTTATTGTCAACAGGTGTGGCTAAAAGCCAGACCTTGTATTTCAGGAATAGAGAAGCAGATATGTTTCTGCTTACAACAAAAAGTCTAAGGATCCAACTAAGGTTGTAGTTCCCTTAAGGAGATAACATTGGATTCCATCCAAGAAGTAGTTTGCCTACAGAATGTTTTGGTCTAATGTGTAAGCATGACTTATTTTGTTCTAGCAAGTGAATATTTAACTATCAGCGTAGCCTGCAACCTTTAACTGGTCCAGTTTAATACAAGAAAATACAAAGAAATACATTTCCTTTTATTATGTTAATGCAGTTTTATCTTACTCCTACCTCTTGGGGTTGGGATATTTAAGCAACTGGAAACTAAGCATGGGCAACCTCAGTGTTCATTGGAAACCCCTTCTGGTGCTATTCTATGCTTTCTGTTTTATTATTTTCATGTCTTCACATTCTTTACTTATATTTCTGATCCCCATGCCTCTACTCTGGCAAGTGGTATTTTTGTCAAGGCTAATTCCTGACAAAATATAAAATGGGGGAAAAAAGCATATTCAATAAATGGTGCTGACATAACGTGTCTATCAACACGTAGACAAATGAAAATAAATCCATATCTATCACCATGCACAAAACTCAAGTCCAAATGGATCAAAGGCCTCAACATAAAACCAACCACACTGAACCTCATCGAAGAGAAAGTGGGAAGTACACTTGAACACGCTGGCACAGGGGACCACTTCCTAAATATAACCTCAGTAGCACAGACACTGAGAGAAAAAAATTAACAAATGGGACTTCCTGAAACTGAAAAGCTTCTGTAAAGCAACGAACATGATCAACAAGACAAAACAGCAGCCTACAGAATGGGAAAAGATCTTCGCCAACCCCACATCAGACAGAGGGCTGATCTCCAAAGTATACAAAGAACTCAAGGAATTAATCATCAAAAGGACAAATAATTTAATAATAATAAAAAAATGGGGTATAGACCTAAACAGAGTACTCTCAACAGAGGAATCTTAAAGTGGCTGAAAGACACTTAAGAAAATGTTTAACATCCTTAGTCATCAGAGAAATGCAAATCAAAACAACTCTAAGATTCCATCTTACACCTGTTAGAATGGCCAAGATCAAAAACATGGATGAAAACTTATGCTGGAGAGGTTGTGGGGGAAAGGGGAACGCTTCTGTATTGCTGGTGGGAGTGCAAGCTGGTACAACCCCTCTGGATGTCAGTGTGGCGATTTCTCAGAAAATTAGGAAACAATCTTCCTCACGACCCAGTAATACCACTTTTGTGTATATACCTAAAGGCTGCTCAACCATATCACAAGGACATGTGCTCAACTATGTTCATAGCAGCTTTGTTTGTCATAGCCAGAACCTGGAAACAACCTAAATGCCCCTCAACCAAAGAATGGATTAGGAAAATGTGGTACTGTAATGAAAAAATTAAAAATGCTGCAGGATCCCTAGTGGCAGAAGGCAGCAGAAATGCTGTAGGTCCCCAAGTGGTGGTAGCAGGCCATGTGTCAGCAGGCAGCGGGCCCTGAGAGCAGCCAGTCCCAGGCAGAGACAGCTGCTGGTCCTCAAGCGGTGGCTGGTCCCAGGCAGAGAGACACATGGTGGGTGGGCAAGAGACAGAGACATGGATAGGCAAGACATGCAGAGTAAGGTTAAATATTTATTTAGGGGGTTATGGAGGGGAAGGACAAAGGGGAGAAGGGGGAGAGAGAGACAGAGAGAAGAAGAGGAGAGAGAGACAGAGAAGGGGGGAGGCGAAGAAGTAGGGAGGCAGAAGCTGCCTCTCCGAGAGAAAGATGGAAAAAAGAGCGAGCTCAGGCCAGAAGCTGAAGAACAGCCTGTCTCAGCAGATGGGGGAGGGAGTGGGTGTGGCTTGTCTCTTAAAGAGACAGAACAATAATTACAGTCCCATCTCTTTTTTAGAATAAAAAAGCGGGTGGTTAGGCACCACAGGTCAAAGGAATTCGGGTGGCAGTTTCTCAAGACTGCTTTCTGCTTATTTGTGGGCATTGTCTTTGGGGGAACCTGAGAAGGCTGGGTGCTGGCCACGTCCTGGCATAGCTAGTCTCTTTGCTCCTGTCCGGTGTTTGTGGCATGGAAATGTCTGGTGTCTCTTACACCTGGTTAAAGTATTGGCAGAACAAAGAACAAAGTTAAATTAAGGGGGAAAAAAGTTAGGACCAGGGAATTGAGGGGGGTGTATCTGACCTGTTTAAGATGGATCCTTCAATTCGGCTCCCTGGAACTCACAAGAATTCTTTGGGTTTGTGAAAACAGAAGTTTTAGACACATAAATTGTATAATGACTGTGACATATTTTTGTACAATGAAAAGTATGTTTAAGACTATGGAAGGCAGCATGTGAGAGAAATTTGATAACTTGTATTTGTCCTCATACGTTTATAACTTGCAGGTCTTGTATTTGTATTTTACTGAAATTTGTTTGGTGAGGTTGTCCTTTTAAACTGACAAAACCTCTCAGCTGCCAAACTGCATCAGAGATCTTTGAGAAGGACAAATTTTTACTTGAATTACTGATTAAAAAAATGACAGAGAACTTACTTGGTTGGCACCCAGAACTACTCTTCAGGTTCTCCATGGTCACTGAAGGTCGCATTTGCCTTTTGCTGTTTAGCGCCGGGCCTGCCAGGCTCCAGAAGATCCTGTGGGCTAAGAAATCTGTAGGAAGACAAGCCTACCTTGACCTTAGCAGTTAGGCTGTCAATTCCAATGATTCTGTCCACGTCTGGAGATCTTCAGTTTAGATAAAAGGCAGCTTATCCCAATGGTCAGTACTTGGTAGTTGCAGCGAATTGTGGATGGATGTTGTTGTGTGCCCATTTGTGTTCTGTCTTCTTTGGAGGAAATAGAGCTGATGCTAGGAGCCAACCTGTCTCTTTTTGTTATGAAAAGTTTTTTAATAATTAAATATTTAAAGGCCACATTTTTTTAGATCTCTGAGCAGTTGAGGGCTGTTTATCAAATATAACTACAGTATAGACTCTGCTTGGAGGGCTGGGTCTGTGCTTGACTGTACTGGCTCTTAACTTAACAGGAAAGATTATACACTCGTA